ATTCTATTCTTCCAAGGGCCAGACGATTATCTGGTGTAGGAGCATGGAACATAATGCATCCACCAAATTGGTCACTATTGCTTTCTTCTCCAAACCTCCCCTGGAAACACGTTTGTGTTGCAAATTCACCTATACAAGATGTAACAATGGAAAATGTTATAATATAAAAAAGTAAACATTTTAGCCTTTGACTTTCCAGTAAACAAAGAAAACTATAGTAGAATATTCTGGTTAAACAAAAAAAAACAATAATACTTAATATCTTCATGGTTGTGCACTGTGTTTCCCGTGATGCTTAGAAAGCTGTTAGGCTGCATTGACAAGGATAGTCATAAAGAACATTGTGGCTGAATAAAATATAGGTACAAATTAACTGTCAGGTTCACAATCGGATGGCCATGAACAATGGACATTTCATACAGTGTAAAATTACCAGGATCAAATCCATCTGGGCAGGCTGGGATTGTCTCACTCCATTCCATATTAGTGGAACCTCTTACAACAATATTTCTAGTTAGAAGACCAACTTCAGCTCTTGCTTCAAATACACTGCTGTCAGGTAGCGTGACTGATATCCCCAAGTGTTTGTACTTCAATGGCTCTGTTAGGTTTAGAGTTTTTCCATCGTCAGATATGGATTGAATTGTACTTTTTTCATTTTCTTTTTGACTAACTCTGTAAATAAAATAGCATAATTTAGGATGAATTTTCTATGCAAAGTGATTAAAACAAAATTTTAACTGGCCAGCCTATTTAAAAAAAATAGCTTCAAGCTTGTGCATTCTCAGACTGTACATTGCCAATTTGACCATGTACACATTTACACTGCAAGGTTGGAGGGGTTAAATCGCACTGTGCACTGTTTCAGCGGGTTATGAAGGCATCGGCAGTAGCCTGCACGATGCCCTAGTGGACAGCTTATGTACTGGTGTCCGCTCTGTCAACTCTCCAATTGGAGAGCTTGTCCACAAGGATGCTCTAAGGTGGGAAACTCACATATAAAACCCATCCTGAGGTACCTGCTTGGCACCCAAAAAAGAAATTAATCTGAGCTGGTGCCCTGCCCTTCCTCCCTATTTTATTATTTTATTTATATGTTGTGGTGTTTTATTAAGGTTAAGGTCACCTGCTTATTTAAAGGGGGGTGAGGAGGTTGCTGGGATTGGTTACAAGATATGTTATTTTTTTTAAGTGATTAAAGTTACTTTTGCTATATATTTGTAACTAAATAATAGACCACTGCCTTTTTTCTGCACATATCTGTGTCTTTGTGTTTTATAATATGAATATATTTTTAAGGTTTTATTTATTGAATTTAACCCCTGCAGTGCACAAGACTCTGGTAAAATATAAACACTTGTTGATCATCATAAAATACAATTTGATAGTTTTAACCTAGGCTTAGTGTTTGTATGTCTCTCTCTAATGAGAACCTGATGAAACCATAGATAAAATCAGAGACATACTTTTGCATTGTTGATATGAATAATAATTTCCTGCTGGTTACCTGTTGCCTGTTGACGCTATTACAATTTCATCTCCAACATTCCATGTTACACTGTTCTGTAAAATGAGTGTTGATGATCCAGCTTCAGCAGTTTGTGCTAGACGTGTCCAAGTCACAGGCACTGGAATCCCTGAAAAATAGCATCATTTTTGTGAATATCTTTGATAAAGAAAGAAAAAAGATTTGATAACACAGTTATAACTCTCAGATGTTTGATTTCTCATTGTTTATTTCAGTGCAGTGATTAATAAAATATATTAAAAACTTGACATTTCCTTTCTAATATCAATAAAGCACTGGGAAGTGCCACTTAACTTTTACATAATCATGGATAAATAATGAAACTCAAAGAAGCCTTACAATATTTTAATAATTATGAGAAAGACAATGTTTGTTAAATGAAGTTAATTGCCCATATTGTTAAGGAAACAGACATTAATGCAGATCTTTGGCTATCGGAAATCTCCAGTCTAGATCATTACCATGAAGATCCAGTATTCCTTCTCTCACAGCTAATGTTTTTGCCCCATACAAGGGTAATTCAGGGGAGCGCAGATGTCCATGCAGTGTGATAATAGCTTTGTGTTTGAATGGAGATGTCTCAGTTCCAACCTGAAGAGTAGAGTGAGCATGCACACCATAAGTACTATTAATTCATAGTAGAGTTACAAAAAGCTGTGTAACATATTTTATTCGGTTTCCCACCATCTTACTATTGCAGATCTTTCATTAACCCATTTATTAGCGTTTCCATCTTGTTATCAATATACTAAGCAATTTAGGTGTTTTTTTTTGTTGTTTTTTTTTTTTTTATACAATTCAAACACAAATGTTTCTTTTTGCTTGATGTGTATATTGCTTGATGTGCTGCCAGGTCTTCACGGCATTGTCTGAATATTTTGCCTTCTAAACCCCTTCCTGGTGAAAAGTTATTGCCCCTATGTAAGCTTCACTTCAATAAATCACCAACAATTAATAATTAAGCAATAATATATTATTTACAGAGATTTCCAATACACATTGCGTGCCTACCATTTGTAATTAGAGCTGCTTTAGTGACTGAATGGACCTTGGCCAAGTATCAGTTGATAGTTATATAGCATTTCTCTACAATCATCATTTTCAGTCCCTTTACTCCCTTATCGTCTAACCATTCCATCCATAATTTTGTTTATTACTTAATATTAGTGATGTCCCGAACGGTTCGCCGAACGGTTCGCGAACGGTTCGCCACAAACGGTTCGCCACGGACTCATCATTGAGTAAACTTTGACCCTGTACCTCACAGTCAGCAGACACATTCCTGCCAATCAGCAGCAGACCCTTCCTCCCAGACCCTCCCACCTCATGGACAGCATCCATTTTACATTCATTGTGAAGCTTCATTCTTAGTGAGCTGTCCAGGAGGTGGGAGGGTCTGGGAGGGAGGGTCTGCTGCTGATTGGCTGGAATGTGTCTGCTGACTGTGAGGTACAGGGTCAAAGTTTACTCAATGATGAGTCCGTGGCGAACTGTTCGTGGCGAACCGTTCAGGAACCATTCGGCGAACCGTTCGGGACATCACTACTTAATATTATGTTTCTCCCTTACATTGTATTCTATTGCTCAATGCTAAAGTGCATCTTCCAGATTAAGCTTCACTTAATAATAGGTGATCATCCACAATGTCAAATACTCACAGACAATACTCACTGTTCAACCACAATGTCAGACAGCACTCACTGTTCATCTTAAGTATCAGACAACACTTACTGCTCATCAACATGTAGGACAATGCTCACTGATGAGCCTCAATGCCAAAAACATTGCCCAATGTCCACAATGTTAGGCAACACTCACTGATGGTCCTCATCGTCTGAAAATACTCCCTGTCATCCTAAACATCAAACTATATCCATGTATGTCAGACATCAACAAGGACTCATTTAAATTCAGTAAATTCTAAACTCTTCGATTTTGTTTGACACACTGTTAATTTCATCCAAACGGGAACTGATTTCATTACATATTTGAAATAAAAAAAATGTTTTCTTAATTTTCTGTTTACGTCACTGAGTACAAGTAAAGAAACCATAAAGCTTCTTTCGGTACCACGTGTAAATTATTGTGTGACATTCCAAGAATGTTATGGAAACCTTTGTAGGTTAGACTTGCTTTGTGCTCCAGTCTCCTGCATTGTTAAGAAGGATTCACTTATACCTGAATCAAATCATTCCTACCTGAAGAATACCTCCATTTGTAATAAGGATATTTTCTGATTGTAGTTCAATGTCAGCTTCATCAAATATCAAAGTTCCTCCTGTTAAAATATGCAAAAAAAATCAAGCAAATAAATTAAATATAATATTTTGTTTTCTGGAAAATTAGAAAATAAAAAAAACAAAAATGATTTGTTTACTACAATGGAATCCATCTACTGTTTTATCCATCCCAAAGCTGTCCAAGTTGTGCATACATCATTGGCATGCTGTGTGGGTATATGCTGTGTAATCCCCTACCTTTTCCTGAGTTATTGCTGTGCACATGCATGATTAAAAGCCTGGCAGACCCATTCAATAAACCGATGAGTGGAATTGTGGCTGTGACTGAACTACATATTATTATTATTATTATGATGATATTTATAGAGCGCCGTCAAATTCCGCAACGCTTTACTTGTCTGGTTACAACTACATGTCTGTTCGTCCACCCATTGGTGGACGAACAGACATGTAGTTGTAACCAGACAAGTTGGACACACAGGAACAGAGGGGTTGAGGGCCCTGCTCAATGAGCTTACATGCTAGAGGGAGTGGGGTAAAATGACACAAAAAGGTAAGGATAGTATTAGACTAGTGACAATTGCAGAAGAGGAATCAGTCAGGAGCTATTAATAGTTTAATTGATACGCTTTTATGAAGAAGTGGGTTTTTAATGATTTTTTTGAAGGAGTGGAGACTGGGTGAGCATTTAACGGAGGAGAGAAGCGAGTTCCACAGGAATGGTGTAGCCCTCGAGAAATCTTGAAGGCGCGCATCAGAGGTGGGAGTACGGACAAAAGATAGACGTAAGTCTTCAGCAGATCGTAAGGGCCTAGACAGGACATACTTGTGTATAAGGGAGGATAGATAGGTGGGAGCAGCATACATACTCTCTAAACCCTGTTGGACAGAGGGAGACATTCCGGATTGGTCGAGCCTCTTCCTGGTCTAGGAGGGGAGTGTTTGCTTCATGCATGCTTCACCAGTGTTAAAGGTCAGGTTTTTTTTTTTTATTTAAAATGTATTTAAAGTTATTTCAACTTTATTTGTTTGCATATTTTCAATGCAATAAAATAAGGATGAATTACAGCCTGATGTGAAAGCTTATTGAGTACAACAATCCAATTTCAAAAGAATGTAAAATAAAGAAAATATTGAAATAAATATTCCATCATTTTTGCATACTAGTAAATTATTCTTTCATGGGTGTATTTTCACTTATGAAATCAGGGTTTAGGACTCATGACCCTTTATTTAGATTAATAGGAAAAGAGGTGTCACAGTGCATGCAGTGTCTAGTCCAAGTTATACAACACTGTGGAAAACTAGACCAATTATAGTAGTTACATTTTGTGCAACACTTCAAAGCATCAAAGTATGGTTCTGCTTAACACATTAAATGAAACATGTGTTGTAGCTCTGGAACTGCTCCATGGTTGTTTTGGCTAATATTTCCTTAAACTCTTCCAACCCATCATCATTTCCTACTCTCCACTCATTAGCCTTATACTTGATTCTAGCTCTACATCATAAGATGATGACACCATCATGAAGATCAGTTATTAAGAGGATCTAGAAAAAAATCACCCTAGAATATGCAATTCATTTCTCAACCTACCAACCCAAAAGGTTACAAACTGAAATGTAAATATGTTACCTTGAATCAATAGCATCTTCAAAATAGGAGTACTCTGGTCTAACAAAATTGTTTGCCCTTGTGTGATAACAGCCAGTGATCCTTCCTCGGGTGGAGAGTCTCCTCCCCATGTATACTTGGATGACCAAACATCTATGTAGAAGAAGTCAGCATTGGACTAAAACAAATAACGCAGAGAAATAATGATGGTAAATATTGAATTATACATTATAATTAGAAGTAATACAGCACATCAAAGGTTTTGCAATAAAGAAATAAAAAGTAAGAAGCCTTTGCCTTTAACAACGTACGATTTTGACTATGGTAACTATTTATTAATAACAAAAACAATTATCACATGATGTGTGTGCTAATTTAGGCCTTTAGAATTTTTGTAGATAAATAATTTGAAACATTTTATATTTTTTTGTAACGGAATTAATTCATTTATGATTCTGATTCAAATAAATTAAATCGAGGCCTTAGACAGCAGTGGGCATTTTCTTACCGTTTTTGCCAAACCTTGACCCTCAATGAGCACTTTAACTGTAGCTTGCTGTGAGGGAGAATGTGCGCTTGTAATACAAATAATATTTGTACTGTTGGCTGTCTGGATATCACATATAGCTCCAGCTACAGTGACACTCAAAAGTGAGATGTTGGTGCTGCACAGTGGAAAGAAAAATAAACAAGAATACTTCTCAATATCTTTAACACTTTTCATAAAAAATAAATCATAGGAAAATACAATGGCATACATGTTAAACCTGGCTTTAAATGTACATATTCAGGCTCTTTTGTTGTTTTTTTTTATCATATAAGCATGCCATATTCCTATTATGTTTATCTTGTTATCATAATTTTTTTTATGCATACCATTTTTTTATTTAATAAATATTTCATGCCAAATCTGAAAATCTCAAAACATAAAAGATGGATGTATTAGACAGTTTTATCAAGAATTGAAATACCTGAACTGCGAACCAGTAATGGTGAGTTGGGTCCCTCCTGCTGTACCACCTCTCTTGGGTGTGACATTATTTACCACAGGTGTTAACGATGATAAGTAAGAAAATGAAGTGTTTAACTGGACAGTGTCGTTTCCATTGGTAATGCGAACATCACATGTATTTACAGGGCTAGTATCTAGAGATACAGAGAATGGAAAGACATTATCACAGTATGTTTAAAATTTCTGTTTAGGTCCTTAGTTTACATAATATGAATAAATTACGGCTAGGGCAAGCCAGTCAAAGTCAGAAAGATAGACAGAAGTCCAAATGTGAACCATGGACATCTTGACTACAATATCCAACTTTGAGTTTAAGAGCTGGTTACAATAAAATAGACTTCAGGATGGGCTGGTTTCTACTAGCTGTCTTAATGTGATGCAACATCCAGATTGCAAAGATCTCTAATGTGTCTAATCACTTACCATTCCGTGGTGAAATTTTGCAGAAAAGATTAGTTGAATTTGACGCAACTCTATCCACTACACATTCAGAGTTGCAGATGAATGCAGTAGAAGCCAGCTGGTCAAAACCAGATCCAGAAAGTGTGATTATTAAACCTCCACCAAAGCTACCTAAAAACATTGTAAAAAAAAAAAAAAAATGAAATCACAATATATTTAAATTCCAGCATATAATGTTAATATTAAATGTAAATTTAGACTCAAAACATATTTTAGAAAATAAAGTCTGGGTGCATCTCATATGGAGACAATCAAAATTATTAAGAGTTGTTGTTTTTTACAGATACCAGTACAATGTTTTAACAGGAAACATATTTTGGAATTGTCTCTCAATTTAACACAGATTAAATGGAGAACTGTCAAATTGTGTTTGTAATATTAAATTTACTTTACCCTATAGTTAACAAATGTATGTTTGTGAGGTCCGAAAAATAAAATTAAATGTAGAAAATCAAATTGAATTTAGCTCTATTCTGGAACCAAGAGCCTCTATCATGGCTAGTTGTCAATCATTAGTATAAAATCTGTCTTTTCTGCAATTGAACATGATATGTGGAGTTGGTAAAAAAGACATAATCTTTTTGTTCCTTACCATCCAATGAATAGTGTGCCTGGTCTGTGCCAGTGCTGAACTGGATTTGGATATCAATTGCTAAATATTTACCATATGTTGAAAAGAGCACAGAGCATCAAGTGAAACAAAAGTTCTAGGTGATTTTCATGGTTTTATTCAATGGTATAATTTCCACTTTAAGTATAATTTAGTAAAGGAGCTAACTATATGTATTATTATCATTACAATGTGTATTATTACCTGAATTTGGAGACACATTTGTCATTGTCAGTTCATATTTAAAACTTGCGCTTGACCGTGCAAAGCCTTTGGTATTTTGAAGATTGACAGCAAATGTTCCCCCAGAATGATCCCCAACATTACATTGGAGCTGGGTGTCATTTATGCTGGTTATATTGCAGATAGTGTCACCAACAGTTACAGTAACTTGTGTGGAATCTGTTCCAAAATGTGTTCCGGAAACTGTAATTAACGCTCCTGATGGCCCTAAACAACATAAAAAAGAACACCGTAAACTTCATCAAATGGCTATTTTAAGTGAAACTTTTGAAATATTAGTAAAAAAAAAAAATCTGCATTTATAAATTTTTATATGTGTTATTTGAGAGAGTCGCACAAATATTTAATAGTGTGCTGTCAATTTATTAGAGTATTGTGTATGCAGCTCTCATCATATGCTCAGTTTGTAAAATAATAATCTTTTCTGTAAAAGCAACATTAATAGTCCACGGTATTTTGGACAGATTAAAATGATGAATAAATACATATTAGAATTCAGAAATATAAGAAGATTTCATGCAAATTTGTTTATTAGTTTGAACTCAATTATCTCAAAATTACTAAATAATAAACACACTTTAATTATTAGCAAATCCTTTCACTGATTCTGTCATTAATAATCTACAGAGGCACTGATAACATAGATTTGATACCAAGTCACTAGGAGTTTATTTATGAAAACATTGGCAAATTAATTTTAAAAATATTAAGACAACACTTCATAATTGTATTCCATAAACTTTATAACAGTAGCTATTTAAACAAAATGCAATCTAAAACATACCTGTCGGTGGAAGGACCGATGTCACTGTAGGTGTTTCAGTTTCTGAGTATGTGAAGCTTAGGGAAGTGTAACTAATTGTTTGAACAACAATATTTACACTTTTTGTTGCTGCAGATGCAGCGGCAGGAGTTAGGCAATGAATTTCACCAGCGGCAATTGAGGTTATTGGGCATGAACGTCCCCCAATTGTTACTTTAGTGTCATTAATAGAATTAAACCCATTTCCTTTGATCACAAGGACTGTGCCACCTTGAATACTTCCAGATGATGTTATTAGTGTTGCCTCTGCAGGGCTGTTTATGTTGAAATGGCCTGATGCCAAACCACTGCTTAGCACTATAACTTTTAACGGATAGGAACCCGCAGGAAGAGGGTCGATCATGCATTCAATTCGAGTGTCGTTAACAACCGTTACATGTAACTGCACGTCTCCTACATAAACTGAGAGATCATCAATATTTCCACCAAAGCCAACTCCAGTTATCTGAAGTGTAGTAGATGTGTTATAGATAACCGTGGGGAACACATCAGATACAACTGGGGTAACATCACTGGTGTAGGAAAATCTACATGAACCTACACAGTGACTAAGGAAACCATTAACTGTGACACTTATATCCACAGTATGTGAGTAACTAGGATTTGTGTCACATATGAGGTCGGTGTAATTAACAGATACAATGGAGCAGACAGTTCCTGTTATAGCAATGTTGGCACTATTTTCTGTAAAACCTGAGCCATGTATGGTTATACGTGTGTATCCAGTAGTTGATCCATTAATGGGTGTGATGTAGTCAACATGGGGCAGAAGAGCAAAACGTCGGTTCAGTTCCTTAGTTAGAGTGTTGATGGCGTTTCCATGGTTGTTTACTGTCAATGAAACGAGTTCAGCGACTCCAACTGACATAGAGTTCTGAGGATCTACATTACAAGTTATTGATTCTTTGTCAGCATAAGAAATCCTACAAGGATATTTGCCGAGTGAAACCTAAGTACAAAAAAAAAAAATATGATTTAATTATTACACATAAAATTTATTTGTGTAGATAAGTGTGTTTCCTTCTGAAAGTGAAATCAATTGTAAGTAATTAACTCACTATGGATCAGTAGCACATTACAGCATTACGGAAGATTTTTCTACTCTCCCTCACCAAAGTGCGAGGGATGTCATAGAGGGTCGGGCAGGTGGGCTTAGGATGTCATGAAGAGGAGGCATGGTGCTATTGGCTGTCTGGCACCAGCATGTTGTTCATAGTGAAACTCTGCTCATACAGGCACCATGACCTCTCCAAATCAATGAAGTGGTTATGGTGCTTGTAGTAATACTTTAAGAAGACAATGAATGTAAGTAGCATTGAATCACTTGATACATACCTGATTGGCACAGCTAATGTTACTGAAGCCAGTTCCATTGATGGTTATCGAGTCATATATTGTTCCTGAGGATGGGCTTATATTGGTAATAGTTGGAGAGTAACAGTTTGAAAATCCAAACCAAACAGAGCTGTCATTCGGAGAGCTATTAGAAAGTTCTGAACATGCTGAATTTACTGATGTGCAATCTGCCAATGGATAATCTGGAGCTGCAACTGTTTAGTGATATAAACAAGGGTTATAGAAATATGTACAAATATATATCAAATACCTTTTTCTGCTTTATGTCTTACTAAGTATGACTAAGTTGAGTCCTGGAAGCATATCTTAATGACATATATGTTGCACTGTCATCAAATATTTGGATATTTCTAACTGTTTAATGTAAGCTAATTTGAATGTAGTCATTACCCCTATATTTCCTCGCATTGGGAGAGATTTATCAGTGCAAATCAGTCATTATTTTGGGTAAATTGCTAAATGTTGAAAGACAATAAGACATATTTCTCTTCATGAATAAAAGAAAAATCAGGAACAGAGGGGGCCAAGTGAAATCCAATGTTTCAAGTCTGGTACCCACCAACTAAAAATTTCACCAGTTGCCACTGCTGTACGCCCTAAAAGGAGTAGATACTTTTAAATACTTGGGAGCAGGATAGTAGTTTATTGTTGTGATTTTATGCTGCCAAGCCTAAGTTAGGTCTTCAAAAAACACTCTGTGCAATCTGCACGTTTGGTGTATGGGGTATACAATATATTCACTAATATTACATCCTCTTAACATTTCAGCAGGAAAAACCATTTTGCTGTAATATGCACATATTTAACATGTGTTATATGTACAAATTACTTAGACAGAGAGAACAGACAGTGAGAACAAAACAATTGTAATGCAATCTTGGACATGAAGGTGAGGCCGCTGTGCACTCAACTTGTCTTGGGATGGTGCCTAGCTGTGATTTTTATTATTTTTGTCCCAACAAATCAATATCTATACCGAAATGTTTTGTTCTTTCTTATTCCAGGTGGTAATTATGCATTGAATAAATTGGACATCATCATATTACGACACAAGAGTTCTAGTGTTACAAAGTGATTTTTCATGATGGGTCTAATAGAAGTGATTTGTGAAAATCTTCTTGTGTTATATAAATGTCCTCCTTACCTGGGTTATAGTTAGACTCTATTCCTCCAACAGATAAATAGACACCACTGTTCTGATCCTGACGTGGAGACACATTGACCACACCTTGCATAAATATAGACTGATCGCTATTCAAGTAACCACTGCTGTAGTAATAAAGCCCAGGAGATGTGAATTGGTATGAGAAGACACCTAAAAAGAAAAGTCAAATGTTTATGATAGTGGAGATAATCATTACACTGTATTATACTAATGTATTATCATCATCTCTTCAATTTGGCGTAAATAATTAATCTTTCTATGTCAATAAAAAGGTAAAGTAATGGCTAAACATGTCCAATGTTTGAAGCAACAAAATGCTTTCAATGTATATATACACAGCAGTCTGCATTAAAAGAACACTCAAATGTTATAAATAAATATACGTATTTATGATGTCATTTTTTTATTTTTTTTTGTGGGCCACCTGTTAAATGAAAAAAAATATCAGTTAAACATATCTTTTGTCCAACATTTTTGTGATCTCAGCATTGCAGTCACTTTTCTTTTGAGCTTTTCTGACTGGCAAATTTCAACATTGCCATTTCTCGTCAAGGACAAAATTTACATTAGTCAGACAGCAATGACAGGGTTAAGATGTGGTGGATTTGGTTCTTAGAGCGTTCTTTTCAGCAGAATTCACTGATTGATAAGGTGTTAGTTGGATTTTAGGATGCTTTTAGTATATTAAGAAAAATATTAACCAATTACATCTCAGGTGGGCATAATTCTACACTCTGTGCATCTTTCTTTTTCTTCTATTTTTTCATAATTACTTAATTATCTTTTCTTATTTAGGCCTTTATGTAATATTTTTGGCTATGCCTTTCAAATGATTTATTACTCTTAAAATACAAATCTAAAAATTTCCAAAAATCTATTTCAAATCCCTGTCGTTGACAGAATATACAGAAATAACAATTCACTTGTAGTAACCTTTAATCTTCTAAAGTACAGACTTTCTGCAGCAGTAAAATCGAAAAAGTTAAACTTTGCAATTTGCATGCATTTATTGTAAATTTTATAAATGTTCTCTTTCCCATATACTGAAGATACGGTCTCCATAACATTTAATTTTCACAAACAATGGAAGTGTATTAACAGATATTCAGCAGCTTTATACCTACAGTCTTGTTGTATTATTTCTACTACAAAAAAGGGCAAAATTTAAAAAATTTAAACTTGTTTTATGCTTAAAGTAACTGTCTATTATACAAGATAAGACACGGTGAATATTAACTATAAAACTTAGCATTTCTAATATGACACTGAGAGATTAGATACCTACCAGAAGCTAGGCTGTTGTCTCCACTGTAAAAGGAGATTCCGTCATAGGTGACATTTGCGGGATCAGAAACAGAAAATACTCTGTATCCAATGTTCGTAATAAAAGAGGGTGCTTGCCAGGTCCACACAACTGTATCCCCAATCGTTATATCCAGTCTTGATGGAGACCAAGCATACCCGATTCCATACACTAAAAAACAATTGGTTATAAGCCAGCAGTGTTAATTTTGACACCAAATTTTGATTGTTTTGCGCATAATAATACCATTTAGTTTTAGTAATATATCCAATGTATTTATTTTTTTGTCTAGTTTTAGTCAACTAAATGTCATAAGATGTTACTCAACAAAATCTACAGTAGTAACATGTTTTAATTTAATGTAATGCTGTTTTAAAGCATTTCTCTATCATTTCCTAACGCATTATTCTCCTGGAGGAGTAAACATTTATTAACTTGTTATGATTTATGTTAGTCACATTTGAACATGCAACACAGACACAGATTTAACTGTTCTGACATAATATGTCTTTATTATTATTATTATTCTTAAAATCATAAATCCTAGTCTCATAAAGAAACTAGAATATGGCCTTGCTTTCTCACTGGGGATCAGTTATCAGGTATGCATTGTTTATAACAAGTTACATTTGACATTTGTCCCTCTCTAACATTTTTGCCTAGTTTTAATTCGTTGATGAAAATGTAATTCATAATCACATTGTTTTAATTTAACTAGAGTATTATATTCACCATAGAAAACATGGCTTTAAAAACAAAACCATGAAAAATATTTATCGTCAACGAAATTAACACCATAAGTCAGTCTCTTTCTTAGAAAGTAAATTATGTGCATAAAATATCAAACAGAAATACACATATAACAAACGCACCAAAGTGCAATAAAAAGGTAGTTTTATTATGTACGATATACAGAACTAGATCTGTCATACACTACTAATACATGACAATATAGTATATAGAAGAGATATGTTTGCATGTATCCAGATTACAGATTAGATGCTGAGCAGAGGAAATAACTAAATAGACATATACAATAGTAGGATATAAAATAAAAGTCTGGCATGATATATAAATTAGTTCTGACCAAATGCAATCAGGTTGGCTGCTTTGTACTTACCTAAATGTACTCCATTGTTTGTTACATTATATATGGTTCCAGTACTTTGAATGACACAGGTCAGCTCATTTTCTGAACTGGATGTCACATCACATGGAACTGAACCTGGACAAAATGAATCAAACTCCTTTTAGGACAGATATATAGGAAAGCACGTAAAGTCAACAGAAGATTTATTATTTTTGTAAGTTAAGAGAGTAAAAATCAAATTTCTTTGTCATTTAATGAATGTTTTTCAGTTTCAAGAATTGTGAACATTATGTTGTCCACACAATCTCCAGCATTGATAAAAAGTTGTTAAAAGTTGTAGTTAGATTTGGACAGGAGGTTATCAAGTTGGACGTGAAGGGAGGTCAGAGACTGGTTTAGATTTGTCACAGCTCAATAATAATTTAGAATCTTAATCCAATAGACTGTTAAAGTTATGGGGGTTCCCTTACTGGTTGGTTTTAGTTAGTCTAACCTAGCAAATAACTATACTCAGTTTTTGTATTTTTTTAAGTTATTACAATGACTTGCAGCTAACATGAACCTTCAAACTTTCCAAACGTATTTTCAAAGACATTACTCACAAACATCTAATTATTTACCAGATAGTTTTTAAATTAATTAATGTGGAAGGTCATGTGAAGAATACTTCCCCTATTTTCATTTCCATGTACTATGGAGCTAGTGAATTAATATTAATTAATAAAGGTAGCACATAAACTCTCATCAACAAGACATAGCCAGTGTGATGTACAAAGCACAAATGTAGCAGTATAGGGGGAAATGTTTTTTTTTTGTTTTTTTTAAAACTTGGTGATCTTATACAGGTTGACTAGGCATCACATAAGGGGTGCTAGAAATATTAAAGCTACATGGACTGAATGTGCTATTGGGAGCCTAGTAATAGAGAGTGAACAATAACAGAATAACTAATTACCCCACTGTTATTCAACTAACTCAAGTGCTATAATGTGCTAAAGAATTGAGGACACCATGGCACCTACTATAATAGGGACCATTCCTCAAGTAACAAAAGGTATGCTTTGTGAACAGATCTATAATCTTATCAATGCTATTAAATGTATTTCATAAGATATCATATGCAGAAAACCAGAAATACAAGTGTTAAAATACCTATTTGCACTGAATTATTTTCGGCAACATTGTTAAATCCGGAGCCTGTCAGTGTGATTTTGGTTCCTCCATACAGAGAACCATACTGTGGATAGATGCTGTTCACTTGTAATTTATATTCAATAGACCCAGTGCTTGCGGCTCTAAAAAATAAAACATAGGAAAGATATGTGTTTACAGGTGTTATTAAATGATCACAGACAAATTGAGCAAGTTTGGCGCACATGTAATAGAAAATATGTTATTTCTTTAATATGTTATATCTTTAAGTTTCACATATGTTGTGTTTTTCATATGTGAAAACAGTTACAAAGGTAATGCTTGTAGCAACAATATCCTTTTAGCTTCTAGTGTTTGCAAAAAGCAGAATGTTTTTTATCTAATAATTTCTTCCTTTTTGTGTTGGCTCGCTTACAAGAAAACATCTTTGAAAATATTTGTTTTTCATAATTTAAAGGGCCATTCTAGGCACCCAGACCACTTCAGCTTAATGAAGTGGTCTGGGTGCCAGGTCCCTCTAGGATTAACCCATTTTTTAATAAATATAAAAAATGGGTTAATCCAGCCTCTAAAGCCTCTAGTGGCTGTCTCATTGACAGCCGCTAGAGGCGTTTGCGTGCTTCTCACTGTGAAAATCACCTTGAGAAGACGCCAGCGTCCATAGGAAAGCATTATGAATGCTTTCCTATGAGACTGGCTGAATGCGCGCGCAGCTCCTGCCGCGCATGTGCATTCAGCCGAAGAGGAGGAGAGGAGGCGGAGAGGAGGCGGAGAACTCCCCGCCCGGCGCTGGAAAAAAAGGTAAGATTTAACCCTTTCCTTGCCATCCAGCCTGGCGGGAAAACAAGTATGTTTTCCTGGCACTATAGTGGTCCTTTAAATCTGGGATGCATTCATAGCACTAAACAAAGTACAACCATGTTTTATACTACTCAAATTAAACATGTAATGTTTCACCTTTTTTTTTTTTTTCCATTATGTAAATATTGGAGTATCCTTTTTAGAGATTATATGGTATCTTGTCTCTTTGCAGCTAAGTATATAAGCAGAAATACATTTTGCCACAAGTGCAATGCATTCGTCAATATCCGATAAATTAAAAGGGTCACATGTTATACTTAGGAGAATGTAACCAGAAGACATTTTGTGGAATGTAGCTTTCTAAGCAACTTCATTGGCAGCGAAATGTAAGAATTAATCATTTTATGCAAACAAGTGTTAAATAGCAGAACAATTTCATGATTTAGACCGTACAGTACTGATAATTTCAATGAAACATAGAAACATAGAATGTGACGGCAGATAAGAACCATTCGGCCCATCTAGTCTGCCCAATTTTCTAAATACTTTCATTAGTCCCTGGTCTTATCTTATAGTTAGGATAGCCTTATGCCTATCCCATACATACTGTGTTAACCTCTACCACTTCAGCTGGAAGGCTATTCCATGCATCCACTACCCTCTCAGTAAAGTAATACTTCCTGATATTATTTTTAAACCTTTGCCCCTCTAATTTAAGACCATGTCTTCTTGTTGTGGTAGTTTTTCTTCTTTTAAATATGAATGAATAAATTTCTAAAAAGAAAATACTTTCCAAAAAATACAGGGGGGGGGGGAGGGTTTGTATATTTATAGTTATATATCCAGTTTTCAAAAAATGTATTTTTTTTTAAATATTTACCCAGATGATGCAAAGCCCCAGTTTTCTACATTTATCAGGATGTTGTATATTCCAGGAGAAAGTGATGGTAAAGTACATGTAATATTTGTTGGTTTCCACTCAAGTATTTCGCAAAGTTTGTTTCCAATTGTAATGGTACTTCCTTCTGACTGGCTGCTAAAGTCAGATCCAGTAATTGTCAAAGTTGTGCCACCTGAAATAAACACAAAGAAAAAAATAGTTGATGATACTAGCATTTTATAACCAAAATGGATTTACTCTCTACATAGGGAACAGCCTGTCGTGAACATAGTTTTAGCATCTGCATTATATAGTGCTGTTTAAAGGGACACTATAGTCACCTGAACAACTTTAGCTTAATGAAGCAGTTTTGATGTATAGAACATGCCCCTGCAGCCTCACTGCTCAATCCTCTGCCATTTAGGAGTTAAATCCCTTTGTTTATGAACCCTAGTCACACCTCCCTGCATGTGACTTGCACAGCCTTCCATAAACACTTCCTGTAAAGAGAGCCCTATTTAGGCTTTCTTTATTGCAAGTTCTGTTTAATTAAGATTTTCTTATCCCCTGCTATGTTAATAGCTTGCTAGACCCTGCAAGAGCCTCCTGTATGTGATTAAAGTTCAATTTAGAGATTGAGATACAATTATTTAAGGTAAATTACATCTGTTTGAAAGTGAAGCCAGTTATTTTTTTTCATGCAGGCTCTGTCAATCATAGCCAGGGGAGGTGTGGCTAGGGCTGCATAAACAGAAACAAAGTGATTTAACTCCTAAATGACAGTGAATTGAGCAGTGAAATTGCAGGGGAATGATCTATACACTAAAACTGCTTTTTTTAAGCTAAAGTAATTTAGGTGACTATAGTGTTCTTTTAACTAAAATCCTGTCTTGAAAATACTTGCATAGCTGGATTTAAGTTGTTGTAGAATTTTGCTCAAGAGCATGTAATAAAAATTCAAAAGGAGCAACCACCATCCACCCAACCAATGAAATGTTTTAGTATATCCTGTTGTATTCTGTTCTTGTAACAACAGCTGGAAATAATGTAATGTGCGATCCTAGCATAAAGTGGACCAGGGGATAACCTATAGATTGTCCTGGATATGCCTTGAGAGTTTTGTTCCTATCACAATTTGCTTTCGTAAAAATAAACAGTAATTTTCGGAATCTGAGTGAACCAATAAATAGCTGATCTAACATCTTAATTACAATAAGGAAACTCATCCACTATGTATATTCTTACAATAGTGGTCAAATGCAATGCATAGTTTATAAACCTCAGAGAAACAATATGACTCACAAAGTTCTGCGGATAGAAACTAACATGAGAGGAACTACCAACTATAATTAAATCAGCATATTTGTTAATGGTAACAAGCTATATTTATATTCCCTATGCACATGATCTCACTCTTTACACCCTGGATTGAGTCATTTGTCTGTAATTCTTCTGTCTTCACTGATGACTGTACGCATGCTTAAACTAAGTTCTTCTGAAACAGAGCTCCTTGCGTTTTCTTCCATAAACCCAACAAAACTACCTTGTAAGTCTCCATTCAGGTAAGTAATGCTACCATTGTTTGTTGTTGTTTTTTTGGAATTGAATCAATCTCCAAATTCTATTACTATTATCATTGAATTTCCTCATGTCTCAGACTTTCTCCTGGTCTCTAATCCTTAAAGAAATTCTCCAAAACATTATAACTGTACTATAGTACTAAATTATTTAACAAACTGGTCCTTCATATTTGCATTAGCCCTTGTTTCATCTGCCTCTCTAATACAATGTTATGCCATATAATTAAGTGTTCTTGCATAGCAAGACCACTTAATGTTATCTCACATATATATTATTATTATTAAGTGTTCTTGCATAGCAAGACCACTTAATGTTATCTCACATATATATTATTATTATTATTAAGTGTTCTTGCATAGCAAGACTACTTAATGTTATCTCACATATATATTATTGTGTTCTTGCATAGCAAGACCACTTAATGTTATCTCATATATATTATTATTATTATTATTATTAAGTGTTCTTGCATAGCAAGACCACTTAATGTTATCTCACATATATATTATTAAGTGTTCTTGCATAGCAAAACCACTTAATGTTATCTCACATATATATTATTATTATTATTATTATAGCAAAATTTGCCACCCTAACTCCTCCCACAGTTTTTACACTACATAGACAAAAATTTACCAAAACGTGCAGATTGTTCCCGATCGGATTGCTATTACTTTGTGGAACGTTTCGCCGAATGGTTCACGGAATATCGTCGTTTTTGTGGCGCAATTTGTCCCATAGGAATGAATGGCAAAGCTAGAGTGGGAGCTGCCAAAAGCTGAAAAATCAGGACATGATTTCTAAACTGCCACCACTCCCTTATTTTCAGGCCCACCTACACAAATCTTATATCAAAACGTTCAGCTATCCCTGCTGCCACTAAACATGTCAACGGCTAAGCCATAGTCCTGATAGTTTTCACAATATAATCATTTGTTTGCAACTAACGCCGTCCATTGACTTTCATTGAAACTTCACTCTGCAAAGCTCAAATTTTAAGTGCAATTTCTAAACTGCGACTGTGCCTTCAATTTTAATACTTCAGAGACATACTATGCATCAAAATGTAGGTCTGGGTCTTGTGATTCTCACAATATAAAGCTCTTCACTGTAGGAGATATAGTTTTTAAGATACGACCGTTTGAAGATGGCAACCACCAAAATACTCTGACCTGTGTCAAGCTGCAGCAGCAAGTGATGTCATAGACAGGGCCTTTTGAACACCTGCTAATGTTTTTATAAATGTATGGTTTAATGTAACTGTGCAACAAAATTTTAGGCGGGAATTTAGAACATTTAAAAGGGGACTCAACCCATGACACCATCAGGAGCTGACTGAGGAAGCCGTTTTTTCGGTGAAACGCGTTTTGGCTAACCAGGTGGACCTGTTATCAGACCACTCAATACATTTGTATTATATTTACTTGTTTTTATTATTTTCTAGAAGTATATATACATTTTTAATAGTTTCTTAAATAAACATATATTTTTTATCCACCATTGAATTACACTCTGCGCAAGTGATTCCAGGAAGGGGAAGTGTCACCCCTACTAACTGACACTAGGCTAAAAATACTTAGAGCCAGTTACCACAGGCTCTAAAGAAGGTGAGCAATTTTGTATTTTATTTACATTGATTTATATCGGTATCTAAAATACTACATTTAGATTGGGGATATCTGTGTCTTTTTTCCATGCAACGTGGAGAGGAAGTTACGCTCTTTTTTTCACCTTGAGAGACGGGTCGTGTGATCTACCCTAAAAAGACACAGACACCTGGAAGTTTAGAGCCTTATAACTATAAAAGGCTCTAAAAAATGTGAGTTCATTTCAATTCATCATTCACAACTAAAGGACTTTTTTTGGATATTTATTTAACATACTACACTATTATTTGTACTCTTTCTATGTTTTCTATTTTTTATATATCACTAAGAAAACTAAAGCACAATATATAGGGTAAGTGCGTGTGTTAGCACTGTCCTTTCACTGAAAATTTCACTATATATTTAGCGCTACACTCATGAGGAACTGAAGATCTGAGCCTTTAGAGCCTTCTAGATCCAAAGTTTTCTCTGTTCTTTTTGGTGTTTAATTATGTATGGTGGGTTATAAGGAGTACCCACGGAGTGTATATAGCAGCTAAAACCACAACTCACTAATTATATAGCGCCACTATTCCACATCTTTTTGTGTTCAAATTCTTTGTATATTGTACTCCTTGTTTGGTGTGGAGGCAGCTGATAATATGTCCTTATTTGAAAGAAGGAAAAATTATTGCACAAATATAGATATTATGTTTGATACACCTACCCCAAATTGTAATTCTCAACCTCAGACTAATATTTGTGATTTAAAAGAATGTCAGTATAAACTAACAAAAGTTATGAACCAAGAGGTTCGAATAATTTGGGAAGTAGCAACTCTAGAAAAATACGTAAAGGAGAAAATTACTCCTAGAGGTCTAAGATATAATAAATATCCTACATTTGATAAAGGAGAGGAAGAGTTTATGGGGGAATGGCAGGAAATGTTGGAGTCATTTTCTTTTACCACCATGAAAATGATAATTAAAAGGAGAAAGATCACCCTGCAGAAATTAGATGGGGACATTAACAAACTTCAAACCCAACTTTTAAATCATACCTCCGCTGAGGAATATGAAACCATCACAAAAACCATTCAGAAACATGTAGATAAAACAGAGACAGAAACTATAAACATTAAAAAGAAAAAATATAAAAGAGATAGATATGATTATGATAATAATCAGGTCACTACCTATGCAACAAAAAGTAAATATATGGGGCCACGAACTAATGGTAATTCCAGATATGATGAAAAAAGGAATTCTCCACAGCATGAAAGGAGGAATTATTCACAAGTAGTCAGAAGAGGAAGCCAATATGATGGGAACTGGACACAATCACACTTTAGACGAGAAAATTCCCGAGATAGGGGACATCACTTGAGGATAAGGTCACCTCACCCGAGATTTCCTACACCACAATTAAGACACACAAATTTCACACCAGCCCCAGCAAAAGATAGACATAAACAAGATAGAAAGGAAAGGGAAAGATCACCCATTCTCACACGAAATAGAAAGGAAACACAGAGGAAATACACAAATACTAACAACAGATTTGAAATCCTAACAGATAGACAGGATGAGGATGATTTTTTTCAGGAGGGTCGTCAAAAAGGGAAATACAAAGCAGCTCAATCCCCACAAAATGCATCCCCACTTCAAAACACACCCCCCAAAAGACAAAGGAATTTAAGAGGAGGGGAACACGAGGAGGAAAGACACTTAATAAGATAAGAAAAGTGACCACACACACTCAATCGATTATTTTCAATTTAACAGGAAATCCCTTACCACAAGCTCAACAGAAAGTTCTAAATAGAGGACTAAAATTTGCCCCAACACAACCTTTAAACAAATTTGATATGTTTATAGATCTAAACAGATATAAAAGACAACTATGTCTAAAGAAGTGTTTTTTAAGATCGGATCAAATGGCACATCAAGTCCCTATATCGAAGTATGTACACACCAATCTAAAAGAAAAATCGACTTTCTTTCCAAATAATTTTATATCCAAGGAGATGATATCATTTGAGAAAGCAGTGATGCAAGAAATAAATAAAATCAAACCAAGAGATAAAAAACATATGAATTTAAACAAAAAAGAATGGCAGGCATTAAAAACACTCCAGAAGGATAAAAATAAGGTTATAAAACCGGCGGACAAGGGTGGTGGTATTGTGGTTATGAACACAAAAGATTATGTATTAGAAGGCCTTAGGCTGGTAGGTGATGAAATAACATATCAAAAATTATTCAGCGATCCAACCATCAACATTAAAAAGAAATTTGAAAATTTGCTAAAAAAAGGGAAGGAAATTGAAGTATTAAATGACAGAGAATACAAATATCTCAATATTGATAAACCAAAGATTCCTGTATTCTATCACCTCCCTAAGATTCATAAGCACCTTACCAACCCTCCAGGTAGACCGATAGTCTCGGGTATTGATTCTATATCCAGCAGACTATCGGAGTACCTAGATAAATGCCTACAACCGGTGGTCCAGAAAACTCCCAATTATCTTAAGGACACTTTAAATATCATTCAGATACTACAGGATATACAGTGGGAACAACAATATATTTTGGTAACTGCGGACGTGAGCTCCCTGTACACGATCATTTCACATATTAAAGGTATAGAGGCAGTAAATTTTTTTCTAAATAAAGACAAAGCATATCCAGAGGAACAAATTAATTTTATTATAGAGGGAATAGATCTCATTTTAAAAAACAATTATTTTTGGTTTAACAATGAGTTTTTTCTACAAAAAGTAGGTACCGCTATGGGGACCAGGTTCGCACCAAGCTATGCCAATTTATTTATGGCATTTTGGGAAGAGCAATATATCAATAACAACATGGATTGGAAAGCGAACCTGGTCACCTATAAGCGGTACATAGATGATATATTTTTTATTTGGAAGGGCTCAGAAGCCCTTTTAAAGACTTTTTTAACTTTTTTAGATACTAATGACTGGGGAGTTAAACTAACTACAGAATACAATACCAAGAGCGTGAATTTTTTAGATTTGACAATTTTTATTGAAGACGATCACATTAAAACAAAAACCTTTTTTAAACCTGTAGACGTAAATAACTATATATTTTTAAATAGCTGCCATTTCTCCCCTTGGTTAAGGAACATCCCAAAGGCACAATTAATGAGAATCCGTAGAAATTGTACTGACACAAGCACTTTTGAAACTCAAGCCATTAGAGTTAAGAATCAATTTGTTGAAAAGGGATATGAGGAAGATCTATTGATAAACACTATAAAAGAAGTAGAAAATATGGAAAGATCTTCCCTCCTGAAATATAAATCTAAGGTGAATGAACACAATGTCTTGCCCTTTATCTCCAATTTTAATCAGGAAAGCCACAGAATAAAAAAGATAGTAAATAAACATTGGCCCATGCTAAGAAACGATCCCATGTTACACTCTATATTACCAGAGAGACCAAGATTTGTATATAGGGGAGCTTCAAATTTGAAACAAAAGTTGGTACATAATCATATAAAAGAAAAACCAATTACACCTTTTTTTCAGAATAAAGGTTTTTTTGGCTGTGGACAGTGTTTAGCCTGTAGGAGTACAAAAAGCACAAAAAGGCACATTAGGGAGTTTCATGACTCAACGAAAGAAAAAGAACATAAAATAAGGGAAATGATCACCTGTTTTTCTAAAAGAGTGATATACGTTTTAAAATGCCCTTGTGATTTTCTATATGTGGGCAGAACGAAACGCCCATTGAATGTGAGAATAAATGAACACATACGGAACATCAAGAAGGGCTATGACAAACACAGTGTTTCAGATCATTTTAGATTACTACATGATAAGGATCCACAGTTTTTAGATTTTTATGCTATTCAAAAAGTCACTTTAAATTGGCGAGGGGAGGATGAAATAAGAAAGTTGGGTCAATTAGAAACGAAATGGATTTTTAATTTAAATACTCTAACCCCCCTGGGCTTGAATGCAGATTTTGAACTTTGCCATTTTTTATAGTTATTCTTCAGGATGCTAGTTTTTTTTTTTTTTTTTATCCATATTTATGTTAATTTTATGCTGGACCTACGGGATACACTAGACTAAATTTATACATTTAATAGTTTTAAAATAACCATAATAAGTAAAAGT